CTTCATCTTTATTTTTGTTTGCTTGTTGCTTTTACTCAAACATACAAAATGACTCAACGGACTAAATCATGTGTCCAATCCAGATGTACGGACAAGGAGCTAACTGTTGGACACTCTCAATCTCAAACACTTTAATTATAAAACTTTGGCTGATATTAGGCGAGTTCTTCCTGTATCATTTACATGAGAACGTTCACTCCAAGAACACTGTGTACAATGCTTAATGGTTGTGTGGTTTCAAAAGGTCCACTTTAAGTAAAGTAATCAATGAATTTCAGTCTACCGGATATCAAAATCTGTACAGAAACTAATGAAATTCTGTTAAATGTTTCATATCTGTTCACTCCTTCAGCAGTTTAGTGTAAACAGCAAAAAGAGGGCATTTTGTCTTCTACAGCACCACAATAAAGGATGATTGGACTGCATTTGAGCAAAACGAAAGTTAGATTCAAATGACCTCAGATTTTGTTCCATGTGTGCTCAGCACTGCCTTCTCTACTGCAACAACAAAGCGGTCCTCCTTTTCTGAACAAGGATGTGAATCTGTGAAATGAGGTCACTGAGATCTTGGCTTTGAATGTGACTGTCATCACAAGTCATACTCCTCTTTTGCGTTTTACTTTTAGTAATACTTCTGAATTAAATTTAAAATGACATAAAATACTATCAAACAAAGCACACACATTAGATGTAAAATGCTCTGGTGTACAGCCTGCACAGCCACAGTAAAATGGCCACTGATTGTAGGACACCCCTCCAAATAGGCTCTCTAATAGAAGACTAATTTGGCACAAATCCTTGTCTTACACTGTATTTGATCCTGTGACCTGCTTTTGGGACCCCTGTACCCCGCAGGCACATTGCCTGTCAGTTTAAAGGGTCAGGCAAAGGTAAAGAGAATGTAATTGCGTACCATCTGCATTCTTTGGAGTTTCATCCTCAAAGCATCTTGCACTGAGAAACTTGTGACGGAAGCCTGCTTCGGCTTAAAATGAGTGACTGGGGAATTTCTCACGCACATTGCGTGCTACAGAAAACATCTCAAAGGATGTGCCTGCGTTTCACAACACATATTTGCATGTGCTGCTGCATCAATGTCAATATTTCTACGTGTGAGAGTGAGCAATGTTTGTCTGTGTGCCTGTGAGTATGTGTTAATCTTGTCTAAACACCTAACACTCCCCTACCTGCTCAGACAGGGCCATGGGTTAATTCTGGCTTCAGGCGTTACGGCTAATAACTGCTCATCAACCGCAGCTTGAACTCTTAGAAATTCAAGCATTTCCCTGGCACCCTCAATTGTCAACAGCAGAGTATTAAACGTATGGAGAATGATTGTTCCAACCCATCTCAACTACTGTACTAAAACATATATAGACTAATGAGTTTACAAAAAATACTTATTGCACTACAAAAAAAAGGATGTTCTACGAAGTAAATATTTCCCTCATACCTGAAGTACTAAGCAAGGACACAATGAGTGCAACAGCAATAAAAAATTAGTTACCAGCACAAATCCACGTGTAGTTGCCTGACTGAGATGGCGAGAAACTAGTGCTGTCAATCATTTATCATTTAGCACCACACACAAATTATTCCAGAAAGATCAAATTTAAAGCTGATTGAGTCATTGCTTCTGAAATCTAAAAACGTGAGCCAAAAGTTAAGGATATATATCAGCAGGATGTGTGGAAGAAGGCTGAGCAGAGGAGAGATTAATCCATCCTTAGTGGCTTGAGGCGCAAGAGTCTTGTAGCTTGAGTAAATGAGATGATGAGCAGGGATGGTGTGGCCTGTCAGATGTCAGACAAATTTAATTGCCATCTCATATGTCAATCAGCTGTCCACAAAGGCAGTTCAACCAACAGGTCAAGCACAGTTTAAAATGATCTATAGTCTGAACATAACAGTGGTCCGGCCTATGATCTTATGTGCAGATTTACCTCTCCAACAAGAGACTTAAAGCTAATGTGTGTTCATACCTTTGTGACATTTTAATCTTAGGTTATGCACAAATTAATCACAGACAATCACAGAGCCAGAGTACATTCACAAGAACATATTAGGGATTAAAATAAAATGACTATTCTGTTCTGATTAATTTGATGCATGACTTGGGGTGCAATGCAATAATCTCTGGGAATTTCCCTGACACATAACAATGTGTTATAACCAAAGATTTTGATTGACATTTTTTATGATGGTACTCTCTTGTGGCAATAATTGCAGCTACTTTAGAAAAGTAAACGAGCCTTATGTTTATGTCACTCATTTTCTCTGTGAGAACAGGGTCAGGATATGATAATCATTCATAAAAACCTTTTCACACAAGGAAAGTAGACAGAGCTTAAAGTTAGCAATGAGTTGATGGGATATAAGTCTCACAGATCAATGACAATTAAACAAATAAATCAGCTACCATTTCTGCCCAGTGCAGAGGAACAATTTAAAGAGCAATCATAATGATCAAATTCAAAACCTTGACTGCAAAAGAAGCAACAGTTATCTTAATTGCAAGATTACTTTTTCAAAACGTTAAGTGACTGAACAACTCAAGGTGTATGTGTTTTCCCTTTTGGCAAGATAAACTATGTTTTATAGCTATTTCTTCCAAACTCTTTATGACTAAATCCTTGCTACTGTTGAATGCTTACTTTATTCCTTGAAAAACGCCTATACAGTAGTCACTCGCTACTTCGCGGTTTGTTTATCGTGAACTCGCGCTATTGTGGTTTTTCAAAGAGATTGGACATGACACACAATTGGCTGATTGATAGATGAGCCACATGATGGGCATGGAATTTTTATTTAAAATAAATGATTTAAAGTTATTTAGCACCTCCTGCACCTCTGTGCAGCCCACACTTGTCTGTGCAGAGCGGAGAAGTGGGCGTGGCCAAGAGCGCTTGCAGGTGGCAAAGATCAGCGGAGGCAAGGAGCTGAAATCATGACATTCTGTGCTCTTTTAGAGAGTTTAGAAACATTATTTAGAATAAAAAAAAAAGTTCAATCTGGTCCTCTGGACGTTCAAAAAAAAAAAAAAAAACAACAAAACAAAGAAAAAAAAAAAAAATAGAAACCTTTTCGTTCCTCATCCAAGAAATTTCCTCAGTCTCGGATGAGAGACGAAACGTTTCTATATATTTTTTTGCCTTTTTTTTTTTTTTTTTTGAATGTCCAGAGGATCAGATTGAACTTTTTTGGATTTTTCTACCTGGATTATTGAGCATGCATCAGCATCATGTGGGAAGGGTTTAAAACGCCTTAATATATGTTTATAAATACTAAAATAAACTACTACTTACTACTTGCATTACTTTTCCTACTTTGCGGTTTTTCATTAATCGTGGTTTCAGGGTATGGATCCCCACAATAAACGTTTATCGTGGTTTCAGGGTATGGATCCCCACAATAAATGAGGGACTACTGTATTTATAAAAACAAGTGAACAACTGAAAATAGAAAATTGTGCTTGATTTAAGATTTGACTTCAAATAATATTTAAAATTAATAATAAATTAAACTGACAAAGCATTTAGAAAAAGGAGACAGCATCAACATAAAAAAAGGATGGGAAGTAAATGGAAAGAGGTGGAATAGGGGCTGATTGTGGGATGCAGAGAAATTTGGGGGCAGGGTGGGTGTTTTGAGCTTTCCCATCAAATGCTGGCTGGAACAATAGGACTCACTAAAGAGCCAAGGACCAGAAGATGTGATAAGGTAATGATAATGTAATGAGGACCAATCATGAGCCTGAGCTAAGTGCAGGGCCTCCTAATTTGTCTCCAGAGCAGTAGTTCAGCGTCATACTGATATCTTTGAATTAGAGTGACAATGTGACAAATAAATTAATCTTTTAGGCCTAAATAAATGGGGAAAAAAATCCTTAGGAAAAAAAGAGGTTAAAAAGGGCTACATTAAATATACCTACAGTATTTGTCAGCTTATGTTACTAATATTTGAATAGAAATATTAGGTTTCAAACAAAAAAAAAGCACAAAAAAAAAAAACCAACTAATGATTTTTTTTTAAAAAAAACAAAGAAAATCACTGCAGTTGATACAAAAATAGACACGTATTATTTTTTATTTAAAATTTAGATACCGGTATGCATTTATACGTGTACTTTTGTTAGCTGATCTGACCCCTGGGTGTTTCAATGTCAATGCCAATTTATTTATATATCACATAAAAACAACAGAAGCTGACCAAAGTGCTTTACAATTTAGTCAAATGAAAATGAAAGTAATAAGAACAAAAAACAAAGACATCTTGTACCACTCAGGAAGAACAAGAAGGCTAATAATGAAATACAACAACAGTTTCATCAGTTCATCATTTTAAGAAGGTGCAATAGTGCTTCCACTCAAAATAACTTACAGTCCATGATGTAAAATGAAGTATTTTACTGCTTGTCAACAGACGTCTCAATCTACACAGGTTGTTCCTTTAGAGGTATTGTAGGATAAAATGTCTGCTGGTCTAACCCCCTTCGTAATTTTACAGCTACAATCATGCATCAATGTCTATCTCAATCCTGGCTACTGGCCTCCTAATAAGCACAATAAATATATATATAAATGGGAGTCACAGTTCAGTTACTATTTGATCAGCAATGAGCATTTCTTCATGGCATATTTATGAAAATGGATCAAGTCTTCTCACTCTGTTGCCTCTGACTTTACACTGCAGAGGCAGTGACAGCAACGGTGTATAATCAATAGTTTCACCTTTTGTTTTGCCACCCAATAACCGAAGAAAGTAACCACAGCTGGCAGAATGTTGCTAATGGGTGAGAATTCTCATTTTTCTTGCCGTTTAATTTCTAAATTCTATGATCATCAGTGCAACAAATTTAATCTTAATAAAAAAATACATTTTCACCTAAATCAGACTCAGGTTTTAGGCTGCGAGTTGCAAAGTTTAAGACTGTAAGACATCATCATTAAATGATGCAACGATGAAAGCTTTGGTTTTGCACAATACTTTTCACAACGTACCTCGATAGTGAACTGTTTTCGCTTGAGCTTAAAGGCCAAGTCTTTGTGGTCAGGGAGTTGGTTCGCCAGACAGTTCAGGTGAGGCACCTGGTGTACGTGCAGCAGACCTGCAAAGGGCAGAAGGAGCAGATTAAATGCAAAAAAGTTTAACCTTGCATAAAAAAATACAACAAAACTTTATAGTTGTTTCTACCAAGAGATACAAAATATGTGTTATGCTACGCCAATAGTAAATAATTTTGCTATAACCTAAAGATGTTCTTGCTTGTTTATGTTAAAACTAATTTAAATCTTCACTTTTAAAATCTATACTCATGATTTAATATGAACTTATACATGCCTCTAGAAACTCATCTATTTTAATGCAGCCAAGAAGGGTATTTTCTTCCACTTTTATTTAAAGTTGATTTGATAAAGAAACCTTTGAGAAGTTATTTGCTTGGTAAATACATTTTTTAAAAAGTCTTTAATGTTGCATATTCATGTAATGTGTTGTAATGACCTGAAGACACATTTTAACAACACATTCCGTACAGATAGAGCTTCATGAAGCATTATTGTAATTCTGGTTCAAGTTCAAGTTGTGTTTATTTGTCATATGCAAGGTTAACACAAGGTCAACAGTACAATGAAATGCCTAGGATGAGAAGAACTGATTTGACTCACTAAAAACAAATATCAAAGAACAAACAAGGAATACTAAAGCATGCAATAAGGGTACAAAAATAAAGTAAGAAAAAGTGAAAAAATAATTATAATATTTACAACGTCCTAAAGAGGGATGGTAAACAACAACGTGGTAGAATATAACAGTGCAAGCTGGATGAATTTGAATGAATAAGCATTTCAAGGTAGTAAAATAAGCTAAAATGCACATGATACATATTGCACATAATTAACATATACTACACAGGTTATGTGACGGGTTATTGCACAGATAGTGAGTGACATTGAGATTGAATTGTGATGGTAATATAGGTACATACCATTCATACAACATTCTAAGCAACTGAGAAAAAGTATTAAATTACCAGTACAAGTATTTTATCAAAGGGCAGCCATTCAGAAATAGTTTTAAACATTTCTGTATTGCCATTATTACTCTTTTCTAATTTTACCATATTTCAAGTAAATATAAAGTTAGTTTTTCCAACTCTTATTATTATTATTTTTTTTTTAGAAAATAAACTAGAACTTTCTAAAAAGGCAATACTTTGGCAATTTTCTTTAACTCACTCTCAATCCATCTTATTTCAGCACGGTTTCATTTTCACCAAACTGTATCTGTACTGTAGATGTAGGGCGGTATAAATAAATGTGACACAGAAAAGAAGAGATCGACGGAGTAATGGAGAAAGGAAGACAGACAGAGAAAGTGGGGGATGGTGGATTCTCTCTGTGCACTTGGGTGATTTCCCCTTGCCTGATTTGCAGTGACAGGCTTCCCAGCATGCTTTGAGCAGCCCTGAACTGCTGCCGCACGCGCACGCGTAGTCGCATGCACGCTCACACTCGCACCAGATGCGTTGGCACTCATCAACACACATCAAAACAATCATACACATAAATGTATTTCATAACCCCACCAGAATTTGTACAGCTGGTTAAAATGGTGCAAGAATATATTTTTTGAAGAAAACAAAAAAACATTCAAACAATATCAACTGCAAAACTCGGCAGAACAAAAGTGACTTTGGAAAATTGTGCATGACTAATTCTATATGTTGTGTGACATTTAAGCAAAATGCATATACAATGCAGGGGGATGTAAGATTTATAAGAATGAAACAAATTCCTGCCACAGAATATGTTTAAGCTCATCCCTACATGTGTCACCACTGGAGAGGGGAAAAAAAGAAATGAAATGTTAAAAAAAAAAAAAAAAAAAAGAGTGGGAGAATTTGAGAGGCACAGCTAAAAATACCACTCTGGTTTTTACTGACCTTTATGTGTGGAGAGTGATAGAAAAGTGGAAAGTGAGGAAGAGAAAAAGAAAATGATAAAACTGGGCAGAAAAAAAGTGATGATGAGGACCAGGGGAGAAAGAAACTCTGTTGACCTCCCCTTCTTCATCTTAAGTTTCTTTCTCTCCAAACGTCCCTTACTGGTGTCCTGTCTCCCTACTGAAAGCATTGCCCTCCATTTATTAGCAGAGCATGCTGGCCACGGAGACATTGAGCGAGGGATAGAAAGATAGAAGCAGAGAGGAAGAGAGAATGATGGTGAGAATATCGATTCCCTAGTGTTGGTCTGCTCTGCTCCAGAGCCTCAGGGTGGGACTGGGGATGGAGAGTGGGCGAGGCGAGAGGGAGAGAGCCTCTGCTGGAGGGGGGGTGGAGGCAGGGATGGAGTGGGTGAAGGTGCAAGGGAGGGGGGGGGGGGGATGTACAGCGTGGCAGCTGAATCCCCCCCGGCCTGTCTACTGAGGAGCACGTCTGATTGAGCAGCAGCACACTAACTCACACTGACAGCCTGGCCTGCAAGGGGGCTGCCCTGCCTCCATCCATGGCCCAGCCCCAGCTTTAATGCACTGCCTCTGTGTATATACGTGTATTTCTGATGGAAAAGAGACTGAAAGATAAGAGTGTGTGTGTTTTCTTACCGTGGTAGTCTTTGTAGAGAGGGTTAGTCTCTCTCTCTGAGCCTTTGAAGGATTCCAGGGCTATGGCATTGTCACACAGCCTGGTTATGCTGCCCATTAGAGCTCTGTCCTGTAGGATCGAGAGAGATCAAAGATTAACGAAGGAAAGGAGTGGGAAAAACACAAGCAGGTAATTAAAAGCCTCCTGACGGGCAATCAGTGTGGCAATTAAATTAGGTCATTGTTTCCTGTGGCCAGGTCATCTCTGTCCATGGTATATATGTGAAAGAGATGAGGTACAACAGTGCCACAGGTCAATTTAAGACAGGCAAATGGACATGCATATTAAATCCATTCTGCAACCTAGAAAAAGAGAATGGGAAGATTAAATGAGCAACAAGACCACACTGTTAGCTTAAAATATCTCTAATAAAAAGGCTAATTGCTGGTGCAAAATCTAAAACCGTGCAAGGCAGGGCAAGTGTAAAAAGCAGCAGCATCACAGGCTTGATGAGCAGAGCTCCCCCTACTGGTAAGGCCAGTGACAATTTGAGAGGCAAAAACTAGACCGTAAATGTATGATGGAGAAATATAGGTACAAAGTAAAAGGAATAGAGGGGATAGGAAGGCGAAAGAGGGACATTGGGACAGCGGGAGCAGGGTGTACTGCATTATTAATCACTTTCCCTCTTGAATCATTCACATCCTCCTCTCTGTGTTGGCTGCCACCACCTAATGCAGTTTTCATGCCTTCATGTCTTTTCCCCGCTCTTTCTTCGTTCCTTTTCATTTTTGTCCTACTTTTAAAGTATGCATATCCCAGCAGTTGTTACCACCGTCACTGAAAGGAAGATCTTAGGTAACTTGTGTGCTGCAATTATAGCCAGTGTAAGAGTTTGGATATAACAAATTATTCAAAAACATTAATGCCACCATATGACCAATAGCATTCACATAAAAAAAAATGCCAACTAAAATATTCTGTGAAGCTCTGTGAAGGCCATAATGACTCGTCTCTACATACTTAAATAAAAAGATGAGGTTTCTTGGCAAAGAATCAAATCTTTCTAAGTCAGGCAGATTTAAAGCATCCACTGCAAGCAGCTCAGAAAACTGGCAGCAGGGCAGAATGAGGTCAAAAAGACATGCACATGGTCAAAAGCGTTTTTAGAAAAGCTTAGCCCAACTGTATGTATGTATGTGCATATATATATATATATATATATATATATATATATATAGTACCATATATAACATTTTGTTAATTACCAATAAATGGCTTTTATAAGCTACGTTTGATCTCTGTTCAAGGTTCATGCACACTGAAACAACTTAAATGTCTATAAAGTAATTATTCTTAAACATCAATCAAATAAAAGTTTAAAACAGTCAGTCACACATTACATACCAAAAATCAAAATATGATATACTGTCTTCTTATTTCTACAACTTTTTTAATATAGAAAAAAATGCAGTAGAAATATGGCTCTTGACAGTGAAACATTTACTGTGACAAAGTAATAAAAAAAGTTGATAATTTAACAGAGTATACAGCTTGTGTAACAAAAAAATCTTA